CATTACAGGGCTCAAATCTCCTTTTAATTCAAAACAGGTAATTTGAGCCCTTAAATGCTTAAGGGAAGAGTTAACGACAGTTTTGAAAATTTTAGAATTTAGAAGGATTTGCATGGAAAACCATGTCAGTGACTGGGTGGCAAAACTTTTTTTTCTCATACGAATACTTCCAACTTTCGGAGGCCGTTGCAATCGCTACTTTTGAGATATACGGCTGAAAATTCTCAGGTTACCTAATTTTAATATGCTCTTTCAGCTTGTGCTAACAAACTTTTTCAAAAGTGAACTGTTTTCGTGTTTACCGAAAGTTGATCAGGTGATCAAGTTATGCAAAGAGCCTATTCTGTTTTCTATTCCAGTTTGAAACAGTCGCTAACCAGATGAAATTGAGTGAGCACGTGACCCTCCTAAGATATTTACTGTCAGACGAGAGTCTCCAACACAGAGAAGAACTTCAGCAAAGAGCAAAGGTAAAACTGTTAACTGACATTCAAATTCGTGTCTCGTCGTGAAAATGTTTTTTGCCCCTTAAACCAGGTCTAAACTTGTAATACCGCGTAACTAATTTCATTCCTTTTTCTAAGCGCCGTTGCTGTTTATTCTTCAGGTTTTACTAAAATTACGTTACGTGGACGCAACTAACGCTGTACAGTTGAAGGGAAGAGTGGCGTGCGAGATAAGTAACCACGAGCTGATGATCACAGAGCTCGTGTTTGAAAATACTTTCACAAATCTTCATCCCACGGAGATTGTGGCTTTGCTGTCGTGCTTTGTGTTTCAGCAGGTAAACGTCGCATTTAGTTTAGGCCCATATTCACAGCCTATATTTATATATTATCAGAGCCCACAAATGGCTAAGAGAAGACTTATTACTTTTCACCTGTACGGCTATTTTGGTTTTTACCGAAGTGTTTGTCTTAATTTATTTCTTTCTTTTTCAGCGCCGATGCAGCGAACCAACATTAACCAAGACGCTAGAAGAGGTAGAAATCTACAAATACTATTTCTGTTTAAGGAGGCGGCGTG